AAGAAAAAACTTCTACAGAGATGGCTTAAAGAAAAGAAAAAAAATCATCAGAGACAGACATAACTGGAACCTAAGTAAATTCCTAAAATTACAAAGGAGAAAAAAAAAATCAGGTCAAAAAACCTTGGCTTCTAGACAAGAAATTAATACTCTGCAGAAAAAAAATAGATAATAAAAAATTTAAGAAAGCTAAAATAGATAATAAAGAGATATAAATACAAATAAGATAGATAACAAAGCTAAAAAATAAAAAATAGACAATAAAGAGGTTAAGAAAAGATGAAAAGAGGGAGAATGCTGACATTGATGAGTATCACGTAGCGTATGAAATAACTTTCAGTCACTGAACTCCTGATTTACTAAGAGTGTCGTTAGAAGGAGGTTTTGTCCCCTGAGAAGGTGGCCTTCCCCGTGACCACCATGATGGATGACTAAAGGCGAGACCTAAGAGAGGGCCACAAAAAGCTGGATGAAGGATCTACCCATGCTTGGAAACTTCCACTTGTTCACCTCATTTAAAATCTGGTTGTTGGTCAAACTGCACAACGGGTGCAGTCCTGGATAGTAGAAGCTGTTAATATACTTGGCTGCCAATGCAAAGGTTGGAGTTGTGCAAGTCCATCCAGAGACTCCTAGACAGAAAACACTTGGGATCTACTTAAGAAAAACTAGTGGCTGAATGCTCTGTGATGCACAGTGAAATTTTGCCACACGTGGGGCTGCCAGGAGACAAAATCAAGTCCACAGCAACTGATCACATCAGTCTTAGTTTAGCCACCAAAACATCCTCTCTGTGATGTTTTCAAAAGTGTTACATAAGAGAGAAGACACCTAAAGGTTTGTTGTTATTGTTATGTGCCATTGAGTTGACTACAACTCATAGAGACTTTATGAACAATGGCTTTGAACCTTGTCCCATCCTCAGCCAACCTCACTGTCTCTGACACACAATCCCTGTGGCAATTCATCTCAACCACGGTTTTCCTCTTCTGTGCTGACCCTCTACCCTTTCAGGCATGATGTCCTTCTTCAAAGACTGGTCCCTCCTAGAGATATACCCATGTAATATGGAGCTTCAAAATCCAAGGAGCAATCTGGCTTCACTCTCTACAGATGTATTTGTTTTCTGGGTAGTTCATGATATGGTCAACCATCTTCTTCAACACCACAATGCAAAGGCATTGATTCTTCTTATCATCCTTATTGAACACATACACAAAACTCTGATGGCCTACTGGTAAAAAGCTGCACTACAATCCTGAATGTACACAGTTCAAATCCACCAGCTGCTCTGCATGAGAAGGATGGGCTGTCTCCTGGTCTCCTGCTGTGTGATTGTTGTTGCTACTGTTGTTGTACACCATAGAGTCTGAACCACAGCTGATCTTCTGAGGGGTTTTCAGGGGCAGTTTATTGCATGGGAGGAGACTGGCCATGGTTCTCCTGCAAAGCAGCTGGTGGCCTTTGGGACTGGAGTGCAGCTTCTTGCAACCAGGCCACCAGAGTTCCCTGCTATGTGATTAACTGTCTCTAAAAACCTGCCTGAGGGTCAACTATGGGTTGGTTCCAACATATATTGTTGTTGTTAAAAGCTCTAATTTGTAGGCTTGATAAATGCTGAGCAAGATAACCTTTAAGTCTCTGTCCAATTCTGAGTTTCTGTGATGTTGATTCAGTCCTCAATTCTTCAAAAATGCCTGCCTGGGCCAGGACAAACAGCCAGAGCTCTGCTGACCTCTCCTTCACAGCACTACTCACAGCTGATGTTTTCTATTAACATATTATTAATATTTCTATTAACATAGATGTTAAGGCATCCCTCTCCCTATTACAATGTAAGCTTCCTGAGGGCAGAAGAGTGTCTTGTTTCAATTCAATATAGTTTCTCCAGAACCTAACCACACCCAAAACAGAGTAGGAACTCAACAAATATAATTCAAGGGTTTAACTGTGGTATAATAAACTGTTAATGCTTAAAGTATATAATTTGATACATCCCATCACCACTATCAAGCAACTAACTCTCACAAAAGTTTTTTTCATGCCACTTTGTAATCTTTATTTCTTCCCACCCCAAGAAAACATTAAGTTTGCTTTCTGTCACTATGGATTAATTTGCATATTTATCATTTTATATAAACTGAATCATACAGTATTAACTCTTTTCTGTCTGGCTTCTTTCACTCAATAAAATCCATTTTGTTGTATGTATCTCGAGTTTCCTTGTTTCCATTGCCGAGTAATAGTCCATTGTACAAATATACCAGAGTTGTTTTGTCACACAACACTAATATACTGATTACAAATATAGATGTTTCTGCCTCTCATTCCTTCTCTTGTGTCACTTCGAAATTTGTCAAAGTTTCCGTTTCTCTTTCCTCTGTTAATCTTTTTCTTAACTAGTGCTAAAGTAGATTCATAAACTTCCCAGTTTGCACAATGAGATGTAACTGCAGAAGATAACACTTAATCACTCACTACTATCCAGAGCCACACAAAAAAATTAAAAGAATTAAGAAAAGATTTTATTTTCACAGGTCTTAGTTCTATTGTCATTTAATAGCTAAGAATATTCCTAAAACTAAGAAGAAAAGCCATTATCTCCAATGTGTAAAATATCTGTGTATGTAAATACTGTTAAAGAGCAATGGTGTTGGTCAGAAAACTAAAGTGCAACTGATCCAGGCTATGGTCTTCACAATTATCTGTTAGGTATCAGAAAGCTGGACAATGACCAAAGAAGACAGAAGAAGAACTGATGCCCTTGAGTT